TGGAAGAAGCCCTGGGGTTATCGAAACCGAATAAACCCCCCACCATGGCAGGGAGGGACTGTCTAAAAAATTCTGGCTGGAAGTCTGGTAAGGTTTCCACCTGGACCTTCTCCGCCACAGCAATGCAGTAAAAAGATTAGGGGAAGAAACGACAAGGGCGATCACGCTCCTCTACAAAAAAAAATTAAAAAAATGAAAGGGATCCCACAGACATTAAGAATTACCGACCGGAAACATATAAGATAATGGCCACACTGTCCTTCAGGACATCCTTAAAATTGGAAGGGTGCAGAGAAGATTAGCATGAATATATATAGGGCAAACTATTATTGACCGTCATACAAAAATAATAAAAAATAATAAAATAAAAATTATTGACCATCAGAGATAATGACCCCACTGTCCTTCAGGGCATCCTCCTTCAAAATTGGAACAGTAGCAAGAAGATTAGAATGAACAAAAAAACAGAAAAAAGATAGGCGAACTATTGACGGGCTGACTAAGTAGGATAACAAACAGCTGCTTTCAAATACATCTGCTTTCAAATACATCTGCTTTTTTTTCACATAAATCATAGGAGTCGTCCCGGGCTGCTTCCTTCTGAACAGTGTGATGGTCTTGTCGGAAAAAAAACATGTGGTACATCGCAGAGAAGAGGAGGAATGCAGCAGTTGTCTTCTTCAAGTTGGGAAAGGTACGTGAAGACCAAATGGGCATTCCACCAGGAATGCATGGAAAGGATGCTACGTAAGACAATTCCCACAGCAGGCATGCCAGGTGTGGGATCAAATTTCACATAATGGTTCAGGATCCTCTATAACATCGCGCATGGTCACGTTCAATCAAATGGCGTTCTTTCAACGACTTACAATATGTCCAGATCGGTCAGGCAGGCGACCCTCAACCCCCTGGCAGCGTCGCTTATCCTGTTCGCAATAGGGCATGTACGAAAAATCATCTGGATGATTGAATGGCCAACTACCAAAGGGACTGTCATACACCTGGCATCCAGCCTCTACAATAACCGGGACTTCATCAGGCGGCGTGGGAAGAAAAAGAAAGAAGCAAAGAGAGAAAGCAGGAAAGAAAGAAAGAAAGCGCCCGTCCATGCGGAGGCTCATTACAACGCTAGACCACCACGGGCATGACGTACACACCAAAAGGAGGCTCATGCCCCAAGAAATGAAAATTGACTGGAACAAAACCATAGGCTGGTCCCTGATGACGGTGAACGAGCCAAAAGTGCCCGCCCTCCCCCGTTCCCCCCCTCCCCCAGAATGCGGTGGCAAGACAGAAAGGAACCCCTGGAATGCAGAGCCAAAAGCAGCCACCACCCCCAAGGGCCCAAGGGAAAACGACAGGGGTCCTTCCCATTGGCTGGCACCAGAACTGATGAACAAGATGCTACCCAAACTAGACCCCTTCCTGGGCCTGTTTCGATACCGAGTTCTGTTCATTAGGAGGTACCTTGACAGCGGTTTCTTTTTGGTGGGAATTCGGTAGCCAGGACTTGGGGACTCGGACCTAGTAGTTCGATAGCAGCCCTTTGAATTCTCAGCATGTTTGCCTGCAGTTAGCGGTACCACTACTCAGCTTGATGCGTGTTTGTGTTGATTTGGTAAGCAGTAGATAGGATGCTACGTAAGACAATTCCCATGCAATTGTTAAGCCACTTCAGGACTAACGCTTCGCGAAACTCCATCGGTTTCCAGAGACAAGTGGGATTAGGGGACGAAAACTGGTTGGCGGACTGTTTGGTTAGTACGGGGACGAAGGTGGTTAACCCCCTGATGACAAGGGCATGAAATGAGGTGGTGGGGACACCATCTCCCACTGTGTTGATTCTTCCTATCAATCAGTAGACAGATCTGTACAAGGGGTGCTGTTTTCAGCAGGGGTCAAAAAGTTGTGCAGGTTGTTCCACTAGAAGGGGGGTGGAACAACCTAAACAACCCCACTGGCGATGGGCGAACCCCTGCTCTGCGGGCGCATACTTTAGGTGGGAGCTGTATGTCCTTGAGGGAGGGTGGGGTGGGGTGGGGGGGGGAGTGTTGGGAGTCTGTCCTGATCTGGGCCGACTTGAGGGGCAGTGGGTGGACAGAGGGATGGTTTCCTCTTGGAAGAGGGGGGTGATCATAGCCTCCTTATATATATATATATATATAGCCCTCGTTTGTTGTCCTCTTCTCTCTCTCTGCCTACGGTTTACCGGGCAGTTCTATTTGTGACGATATATATATATATATATATATATATATATATAGCCTCCTGGACTGCGCATTTTTACTGTGAGCTACTTCATCCCATATATAGCAGACGATCACCCCCCTCTTCCGAGAGTGGGCTATATACAGGAGTGGGCTGGGGAGCCCTATCCTGCAGAGGCGGTATCTTGGAGGGAACGTGCTAGGTTTCAGGGGGGTATATGGGCAGAATTGAGGGTTGCTGAAGTCTCGGAACGAGGGCTAGCTTGGCGGAGGCAGATAGTGCCCAGAGGTCCAGCTGCTTCGACGGTGGGGGGGATTAGTTTCCCCTCGTGTTTCTTCCCTACGTCGGAGGGTGTGCGTGATGGTGGGTGGGGTTTTGGTCTGTATAGTTTCGACTGCGTAAATCTCTGTAGCGCTATTGTTCATCATCGCTAGCATATTCGCCATTTTGAACACGATTTCAACTTCAGTGGTACAATACTTTTTTTTAACCAACATGGCAATATTCGTGTTTTTCCAAGTCGAAGCCAGGTAATGGCCCCAGTACTTCAAGATTTTCACATGTTCTTGACATTTTGCAAAGGGATGTTGGGCCCAGTTCGCAGCACATGTTGCTCCCCACGAATAGACTATATATATATATATCAAACACAACTGCCTGGTATATATAGATCGTCCAACAGAACTGCTGGGTGAACCTTCTGCAGAGAGGGGCTCTGACAAACTGTTCCCCCAGGCTACCCTGTGTAGTCAGCCATCCCATGCAGAAAGGAAGCACAGGGATTGGACGGTGTGCTGAAAAAGCGGAACCACACTTCCCGAAAGGGCATGTCTTCCTCATGTGATAACCAAAAAACCCTGCGAATATGCGGAAATCTGTTGTGGCAATGGAGTCCCTTTTCTCTCGCCCATTCCCGCCGGCTGGCGGACGGTTTCCAGCCACAAGCTAGCGCGAGCCTGCGGGGTCTACCCCTGAGAGTTGTAATTATCATATGGAGAGAGAGAGAGAGAGAGAGAGAGAGAGAGAGAGAGAGAGAGAGAGAGAGAGAGAGAGAGAGAGAGAGAGAGAGAGAGAGAGAGAGAGA